GGAGGTAAATGGGAATTCTCTGTATTTTCCATTCAACTTTGCTATAACCTAAAATTGCTATAAAAAATAAAATCTATTAAAAAATAGCAAAAATCAAATACAATCTATTAGTTTTTCTAAAAACTTAACAGGGATGTTCATTCAAAGGGGAGCACATGGCCTAGGGGTTTAGCTCATAGGCTCTGGAGCCAGACTGCTTGGGTTGGGGCCCTGGGCAAAGTGGCTCAGCCTCTGCTTCAGTTCCCTCGCCAATAAAGTATAAATGAGAATGTCTACCAGAGGGCTGACAGGACACAGAGGGCTGATGGGGCTTCAATACCACAAGTGACAGACAGACACACTTCTACAAGTGCCTGTCCCATGGTTAGGCATAGGCTCCAATGTCAGCCATCATTAAAAAGAACTGAGAAAGCCCAGTGCTATGGAGAAATAATACAAGAAGCTTCTTTTTGTTGCTCAATGATGCGCTCTTCTCCTTAGTCCTTCTAATGCATGTGATATGTGATTGTTTATTAAAGTCATTCTTGTAAAATTGGGAGTTACTGCAGCAGTCTGTCCTTTAAACCTCCCCTTCCATTTTCATACCTTCTATAAAGGAATCATCAAGAATTTTGTCTCCATACAACCAGTATCTGAAATATTTAAAAGATTAACGTTATTTTTTTAGGCTGGATGCCAATTTTGCCACTAAAGAGAAAATGCAGTATTTTCCACCACTCACCGCAACCCTCTCGTGGCTAAAATGAACTCCCCTTTCCGTAGCCGTATCCGGGGCTCTTCAGTGCAGGGGCTCGTGAAGAATGTTTTGATTCCTTTACTCAAAGGACAGCAGGCACCACTGTAATCTTCGACTACTTTATACCGAACCTGTCATAAGCAATTAAGACAACTGAACATTTACCCGTTATCTGCGCTTTCTTAAGTTTGAATTGTAATTGTTAAAGGTAGACCCAAACTATCAGCTGACAAGTCCTTCCCTCCCAGGTTGCTACCCACCCAGTTCCCTTATAGGAAGTAGCCGGCGTTTCTAGTTCTCAAGGCTTTTCTTCCCCTTCATTTCAAGCACATAGCGGAGAACTGAATTCTAGAGTGTGCTGTCCAATCGAACTTTCTGCAACAATGGCTGTGTTCTCTTTGGGGTCCAGTGTGGTAGCCACCAGCCACACATAGCTACTGAGCACTCCTAATGTGGCTGGTGCAACCAAGGAACTGAGTTTTTAATTTTATTTCATTTTAATTGATTTAAATGTCAATAGCCAGTGACCACTGTATTATACAGTATAACTGTAAACACAGGTTTCACACTAACAAGCTATATTGAGGAAAATTGCTTTTCTGTTGGCAATATAAATTGACTAAATTCTCTCCAAGCCTCCAGTCCAAACTATTTAAATGAAGACAAAAGTCAGTTGCATTAAATTTCAACAAATATTTTAAGAAATAGTATTTAATAAAAGCCAACAGCTGGCTTCTAATCAAAGGCAATTTTAAAAACTATCTAAAATTGCAGAGCCCAACCAAAAAAAAAAAATTAGTATCATTGCAAAAGAATTACTTACACTTCTCACTCTTTTATCTGCTTTCTGTTTCAACTGTTCTATCTGGAAGATAGAAAAAGAAACAAAGCCTTATCTCAATGTTGGTATCAGACTGAACCGACAAAACTCCCAGTTTTCCAGCATTTCTAACTGCTGACAATTTAAAGGCCATGTGTGTTTTCAGCATGGAGAGAAGGCCCTGTGACAAAGAAGAAGGGCTGAAGCAGGGCTTTCTTCTCAGGACTCTCTCACTAACTTCTTCGTCTGTGTGTATTTACAGAGCACTCCCTGGGGCCCAGGGACCAGGGAGATGTGCTCTCTGCTCCTGTGGAGCTTCCAGGCCAGCACTAAGGTGAAGATGACACAGACATTCACAGATTCTCTAGGGACACGGTAGAAAGCCTGCAAAACTCACCAAACAAGAGTCCCAACTGAATGTCATTGCTATCACTACAACTCACTTTCCTCCACTTATTCATACACAGGAGGATATGACTAAGTGCTAAATCCGGAGGAGTCTAGAGTGCAGAGGTTAGACTAGAGAGGAGGCGGGACTGAAACTGGTCTTAATAAATTCCAGCAGAGAGGAGACCACATGAGCAAGAAAAAGCAGTGTGGGCGAAGTCAGGAGGCAGGAGTGTGTAAGCTGCTCACTGAGAAGACTCGGCTGGCTGGAAAAGATGATTCCTGTCTGGAAGCAGGTGGGAGGCAGTTTTAGGCCAGATTTTATAAAACCAAGTTAAGGGATCAGTACTTTATCTCACAAGTATGGAGAGTTAAGGAGAGATTTAAATAAAACAGAGACATGATACAAAAAGTGTTTCGATTATCAACTTAAGATTCATTTTGCTACGTACTGAAAAAATAATTTTATGATTTATTTTCCCATCTGAGTTAAGGGAAAGTTAAGGGGAAGAAGGTGAGGAAATAAGGAAAGACTATTTGAACAAAAACACTCACTGTTAAGCTGTACTGGTGACAGCCTTCTCTTATTGGCCACTCCATTCCATCTCCTTCTGGGACCCCTGACCAGGTAAATACCTGTTTAAAGTTCTTCCAACGACTCCCCATGTCGTAAGGAAAAACAAAGACTTCCTCTAGTTGATAATATTGAATTCGATCTTTAGCCTGTGGGTAACAAAGACATAAGACGGCAGATGCCTTAACCGGCTCTTAGTAACACACTATTGAGGATATTTATTCTTCAGATTTGTATCGCTATTAAAATACCCCCTCCTTGTGATGTTAGTGTACATAGAAGAGCGAAGTAAACTGACCACAGTACAGGAAGAACCCAGCACACCGACCTTGTGTCAGAACATTCAGAGAGTGTCTGACGGGGCTTACTTAGGAACAAGCATTCAACACGCCTCTTAGAAGTTAATGACTTTATTCCATATAAAAGTTCTCAGCGTCCTGTTGTTCAGCAGAATAAAAGAGTCCAGGTGTAAAGCAGAGATGCTGACAAGCAGTTGTAAGAGGCGGCAGAGTTTGTTTAGGATGGAGAAACTGTGTCGTGGGGGCACTAGAATGCAATGGTTGTATCCTGGGCTGCAGTGACACCTGTCGGAATGGCCAGGAAAAGTCTAATGGGAGTTATTTAATGAAAATCACTTTTTTAAAAAGCTAGCAGGTATGTGCGGATCTCATTTCAGTTTTCTATACCATTGCACACACATATATACTTATTAATATTTGGATTTATATGTACCTTTTCTGCATAGACAAATATTTGAGTTGTATAAATTATATTCTAGGCATTTAAATTGTTAGCTTTAACTTAAAGAGATACTGGCTTAGAATCTTAAGTTCCACTGACACCTAGTGGCATAAAGACATAATATTTATTCTGATAATAAGTGAAAAAACAGTTGAAATTTGTTGCATAAGTTTTAGTGTCTGGTAATTTCGGTAAATTTTCTATAAACTTAATATTATCAATTATTTGAATATTTTACTCAGCAAGAAAGCACCAGCTTTAAAATAATTCCTAGGTTCAGCATGGCACTTTATAAAGGACATTGGTCATCAGCATAAAGATGGTTAATCTAATGTCAGTACACTATGCTAACTAGAAATGATACTTAAAATATTTTATTATCAAGGGACAGTATATTAAGGACAAGCTTCTCATAGTTACTTAAAAGGTGATATTGATATTAATTCAAAGAGTTATCAACCTGTAAAATGTATGACTTTATTGAATTGTATAAATCCATACCCACCCAGACAGGAAAGGGTAATTTCTTTTCCCTTTTTATAAGCAAAAGCTTCAGAGTCTTCAAAATGTATACGAGTCTCAGAGAACAGACTTAGGCTATTAACAAAGAAGTGGTAAGGATGAGAGTAGCATACAGAAGTGACCTCGGCATGGCTCTGCCTCCGAGAAGCACTCAATGAAGTTAGGGGGGTTCTATCAATACTGTGTGACAGGTGTGTGACAGGTGCTATGGGAAAAGCAACCTTGTCTAGGGAGAGCCAAGGAAGGTTCCTTGGAAGGAATGATACCTAAAGGAAGTTTTGAGGAAGAAGAAATCAGGCAAAGAAACCGGAGGAGGAGTGTTCTAGGCAGAGGGCCCACTTGGAAAGGTACAGAAACAAATAATGAGTTACTTGGTGTAAGCTGGAATTGAATGTGAGATGCGGTGGGGAAAGGTGGGAAATGTGGCTGAAGAAGCAGGTAAAAGAAGACATGAAAGGCCTGATTATGTATAAGCTAAGGACCTCACACTTAAACCTGCATATCAGTGCTCTTAAAGCAAGCTTTGCACACCTCTTTGAGTCCCTAAGGCCTTTTCTTGGGGTTCAACAGAGTCAAACAACTTTCTTTATAATACTAAGATGTTATTTGCCTTTTTCATTGCGTTGACATTTCCCATGGTGGGTAAAAGTGCTGGTACCTTAAGCAGGAATCAAGACAGTGGCACCAAACTGTACTAGTAGTTGTTATAGCCCTCAGCGCTACACAGTCATAGTTCAAAACAGAATAACCCCTGCGCATCCCCAAAAAAATTTTCACAGAGAATGTCTTAGATGAAGTAATAAAAATTATTCTATTAAATCTCAACCTTCAAGGAGTCCTTTTACTACTCTGTGTGACAAAACAGGACTGCATGTAAAGCATGCTGAAGTACTATCTCAAGGAAAACGCTTGTCTGAGTTGTGAGCTAACAAAAACTGTAGAGTCAGCTTTTTCATGAAATGCTACTTTTACTCGAAAGTGAATAATGTAACAAAGGTTATTCAAACTTCAGTATCTCGTGGACCCTTTCTCAAAAATGAATGAAGTCAGGCTGTTATTTCAATGTAAACAACTGAGCATTTATTGCCAGTGAAAAATGAAAGGCTTTCAAGTAAAAATTTGAATTTGGGGAAATTTATATCCACCACTATGAGCCTGACAGCTTCCCAATATTTAAAGATGTTTTTCGTAAGGTTGGTAGTGATACGAATGAATGCATCAAGATCTGGGAAAACCTGCAAGACCCTGTAAAACCACCTCTTCCAAATGACCAATGCCAGAGGGCCTAAAATCATGAATGGGTAACAGATCCATCGACAGAGCAGCACAGACTGGTGGACTGAAATGTAAGAGTACAAGAAGTTTACTGAGGCAGTGTCAGGCCTCACATGCAACCAACCTTTCAAGAACTGTCCCTTGTCAAGTTTTAACATAGTGTAAAATATTTACTATTATCTAAAAGGCCTATTAAATACTCTACACTTTGCTACCTACTTATCTGTGTGAGGCTGGACTTTCTTCATCTACTTCAATCAAAGCAATATGTCTCAACAGACTGAATTTGGAAGGAGATGTGAGAATCCAACTGCCTTCTGTTAAGTCAGATATTAAAGAGATTTGTAAAAACATAAAACAATCCCACTATTCTATTTTTTTAATTTTGGAAAATAGTGTTACTTTTTAATAAACATGCTATTCTATTAACATATAATGGGTTTACTATTTTTTAAATGAAATAATCTTCAAAAACTTCTCTAAGAAAACATGACACTGTAAATAGATGTCATATACATTAACAAAATCTCTTTAGTGTCCTGAACAAATTTTAAGAATATAAAAGGGTCCTGAGATCAGTAAGTTTGAGAACTGCTGCTGTAAATTATAATGTAGAAATTGGCTTCCAGGGGGCTGGATATGCCCTGTAGGGGTGTTATATTTGGCTCGCAGGGATTTTTGTTTTTAATTTGAATTCCTTGCTAACATTTAAAAATGGAAAGATGTCACAGAAATCCAGACCTCTTACTTTTCTTGAAACATAATGAAATGACCACACAATACTGGGAGAGTATTCCCCTGGGGCTACAATCAGTTCCATCTGTTAGGCAGCTCTGGCGCACAGGCTGACTCCACCCATTGGGGTGATCTGCCTAGCCCCTGTCGGCACTTGGGTAGACAACCTGTGCTATGGTGATGAGCCATGAGGAGGCTCTGAGCATTTTAAGCACAGAGCAGGGTAGTCAGATTTACTTTTTATAACAATCACAAGTGAAGTAAGTATTGGAGGCTGTGAGGTCTGCGGCAAGATAAATGTTGTAAGTCCTATCTGATGTCTGAAGCACTAAGGAAACATGATGGCGCCTTGGTGGAAGTTCCTTTCCAAATGGGTTACCTTCTCCTCTAGGCTGAGAAATGGCCAAATGGTTCAGCGTGTGGCTCAGGCCTCTTCAGCAGCTCAGAGTGTATGAGGAGCACACTTCCGAGGGAATTATATTAGACCAGGGAAGAATCAAAATGTCTTCTGTATTTACCTTTTATGTGGCATGCAAATGACTTAAGGAAGCTATCTGGTAGCCAAATTTTCACTTCCAGGCACTTATCTGGTCTATCAGTTTGATAGTGAGGGAAACAAGTATTAAATTTACCTTTTCTTCGATCCATGATTCAATAGAAGTTTGGTTTCTGAGAATAATTTTCATCTGAAAAATAGGCAGCAAAATTTTACAATGGAACTTTGGTTCATTTATGATTATTCTCCTCACACTAACCCTGGGAGACAGTGTCTATTGCTCCCTTCCTTGGATGACGATTCCAGAACGATAAGGGTTCAGTAACAGCGTGCGGTGCACCTGACTTGAAGTCCTTGTCCTGAACCGCTGCGCCACGCCTCTCCGCAAAATAATCCCATCAAGACACAAACAAATCCCAATATATTATTTTAATGAAAATTCATGTTTTAAGAATTAGCTTCTGAATAAGGTTTACAGAGTATTAATAAAACATTGATATAATCCATTTGATCAGTACTTAAGTGTCTTTTGCTATTAAAATCATAACTATTTTAACCTTAAATGTATGATTAATCTATTTATTATAAGTGACTCATTTCAGTCAACCGAGATATTCTGCTTTCCTTAAAAACTGAATATATTCAGTCCAAATTCTATTAGATTTTCCTGCACATAACTAATTCCATTTATATAGGTTTTCACGCCACAGAATTTTAGTTTATTTCTAATATGATTCTTAATTACAGGCATTGAGGAAAATAATCCAAGAATTTGACCCCAGGCTAGTAGAAAACATGAAGTATAACCCAAACCAGCTTATTTTAAACTAAGAGCTGAAAAAAGGCTGTCAAGCCCAGCATATCTAATTCCCTAACAATTCTGCATTTCCTTGAATTCTGGCTGTGTCTTCCCAGAGACAGTGTGGCACAGTCAAAACAACCCTTCACATTACTTTGTACATAAATCTACGACCTACGCGTATATATGACTGTATTAGTTAGCTGTCTACTAATTCTGAGTTCCCTAGGAGCAAGACCCTCTTCATTTTCATTATTGTAGCCTCAGAAACTAGCGAAGTAATTCACCACAGAGTAGGCATTAAACAGCACCTATTTCATAGGGTTGTTACTAAGATTAAATGAGCTGACACATGTAAAGCGCCTAAAACAGTGTCTTGCACATAGCAACTGTTCAATAAATGTTAGCTATGTTGTTATGATACTGATTAAATATATGCTATTGTAAAATAACATTAATAATCATGTTTACTGAATATAAAAATGAATAATCTTAGGTATATCACTAAAAACTTTCTGTGACTCAATTACTCATCTGTAAGGAAGGGAAAATAACACTCATCTTCAACCTCTTTTGGGGTTGATGTGAAGATCAGCAGACTATAAATGTAAGATCTCTCTCAACTACAAAGTGCTATGTAACTCCAAGTTAACATTTTAAAAATTCAATTACCTAGAAATTCTGGCAAAGCTACTCCAAAATTATCTGACGAGTACAGAAAATTGAATTAGTTACCTAGATGGAGTAACAATAACTTCCATTTCATACTGCATATGTAAGTGCAGCCTCTATCTCTTTCTCATTTTAAGCAGCCCCAGTGACTTGACAGCTTTTAGCTAGCAGTAACTGAGGAGCTTACCTGGATAAAAAACAACATCCCAACGGCTATGGTTGTTCCTAAAGCTAATCCCAAGGCAAACAAGGTGGCAGCAAACGCAGCTAATCCAAACGGAATCACTGGAGGAGGATCTCTCCGGGCTGCACTCATGTCAATCTTTACCGTGTTCCACCCAAAGGAGAGCTGTAAACAACAACACAGGCTCGAAAAACTTGGTTGTGATAAATGGTTACGCTCTACTGTCACAGTTAAAACGACAGGATTCAAAAGATCAACAAATGGTTAACTTGAAATTGTGGACAAAGTAAACATAGCTGTTTTTAACACTGTAGCTTGAACTCATACTGATATACATGATATCATTCTTAGCTATTCTCAAATGTTACTTTTTGTTGTTTTTTTATTGCATCCTTAGAAGGTATTAGTGAGTTAATAACAAAAAATTAACCTGTTAATTTAATTGTAAGCAAATATTGGTTAAAAGCATTTTAAAATTTAACAGGGTGTTAATTTTCACATATGACATTTGGACTGGAAATTTTGTCTGTTAAATCCAAAGTCCGAAAATCTAGGGTTTACTGTATTTCCAAAAGAGACTTCAAAATAATCTTGATGATAACTATTTAATCCGGCACAAGTGACTTTATAACATTTTCACGTACCCGGTTATAAAGCTGTGTATACATGGTCATAACAAAGATGAAGGCAGCATGAATACAGCCCAATGGTGCTAACAGGAGGAACAGTGTGAACGAAGCATGGTTTTGGTAACCACAACAGTTGTTGATCCAAGGACAGTGATGGTCCATCTTCAGCACACACCTAACAAGAAGCATTTACATAAAACATGAGGCAGGAAATCCTGTCAACTTGAAATAACTTTGGTCTTCAAAAGACCGAGCAAATAGGAATCCAGCATGTTCATGAGTCAGAGGAATTACATTTCATGGAACAAAAAGAAAAATCTTTATGAGTTTTTAAACAACTCTGAACAGTGACTTCTTTTAAATTCTAAACAGCGCAAGAAAGGGCAGGCTTTGTAACGGCTTCTGAGGAAAAGATGTCAGCTCCTTGTGAGTTTGTTTAAAGAAGGTAGCACTGAGAGGTTCATTATAAAGAAATGAGCATGGTTCCTGGTCTTCCTCTGGCTTTGAAATGCAGTGACTGAAGTCCAATAGAGACTCAACAAAATCACTTAGAAATCTCCACTGGGGCTGTTGGGACCTAGCAGACGCTTGCAATTTCCTTCCTTCCTTCTTTCCTGTCCTTGCCTTTTAGATGTGGAGTCTCTGAGCTAATCAAGCAACTACTGAATATAAGATGTGTACTAAGCAGTCTTACTGAGCTTCCTTCCCTTGTTGTTGCTAGAAGAAAATGTCCTGGCCTCAAGCCAACTTTATTTGCTTCCATGGTTCCCCTGAACCTCAATATCTCATCAGAAAGTTCTTATTAATAAGTACATACAGCTGTTCATTTTTAAAGGTTCTAGCTTATTAATAATGGAAAAAGCAGCTCTCTTCTGTATTCAGACTCAGAACAATTCGAGAACTAGTCAAGACGACAGTCAACAAGCACAGTTAATCGTGATCTATGGAAACAACCTGAAGATAGAACTTTCTACTGTCTCTTGGCAGGGCAAGAAGCAAACACAATCTGTACTTTTCTAGAAAAATCTTTTCACATATAACAAAAGGAATGTATTTATTATCCAAATCGATAATTTAAGAATAATATGGAGATTATGGACACAAGTATTTGGACAATATTTTTTATAGAGTAGCCACCTTGCAGAGAGGAAAAAAACTAGGACTGATGTGGCAGAGAGAACAAAAGACCAGTGGTCAAGGTGATCAGTCCCCGGCCGTACCTGTTACACTTTCGGCAGTGATGTGACCGCGGTGCCTTGTATGCTTGGCAGACTTGACAATACTGGAGGTACATGCTATCCTGAGTATTTTCCTTGGCAGCACCATATGAACAAAAATATATCAGTTAATCAATCTTAAATGATAACAAACCTTATGAATAAATGCTTTCCTATGGTTTAATGTTTTTTATGGGGGATAGTGGAGGGATGGAATCTTAATTTACATTCAGCTCTTTTGAGCTAATATTTTTAAGTAAAAGAATTCCAGTTAACAGCAGCATCACTCTCCCAATTACCCAGAAGTCATTTTTAATTTCTCTTCCCTATGCCACCCCAATTCATTGCCACAGAGTATAGCTGGCCCTATTTATCCAAAATCTTAGTGGGATGGGGGTAGTTCAGAAAAGAGGTAGCTGACAACTTGGCAGATATTTAGAGTGGGGATTCAAACACCACAGTTGATACTCTTAATAATACTCTTGTAACATGATCCTGATTATGTCAGAGCTCTGCTTGAAACCTCTGGTAGCTCCCTATGGTCTAACAATTTCTCATGTAGTTGAAGCCTTCCATAATCTACCTGTTTCAGCCTCATCTGCACTACATAATCTGTCCACAGTTTCTGAACACACACTCCCCCTACTCTCTCAACCTGAAACGCCTTTTTCCCATCTCCTGAGGAAACTGTCACTCCTCCCATAGGTACCGATGAAGATGCCCAGTTCCTTCTAACTTCCAGCACTCATCACATTCTATTCTATACAGTTATTTGTGAAAGTGCCTTAGTTTCTCACCCCAGTTACAAGGTTTTTCAGAATATGAATTGTGTCTTACCCATTTCTATACTCATTTCAAATAGCACACCAGTATTTCTCCAATTTTAACATACCTAAGAATCATCTAGGGATTTCATTAAATGCAGATGCTGACTCAATAGGTCTGGAGTGGAGCTCAAGAGTCTGCATTTCTATCAAGGTACCAGGCAATGTTCCTCAACAAGGAATACAGAAATTCATAAACATGAACTTTCAAACAAATTTTAAGAAGCATGAATTGATTCATATTGTACGTCCCAAATTTCACTGTAATGATTTAAAAACTTTATGATTTAAACCAACAGTTTCTAAAGTTTTTCTCGGTTCTGAGGATGTTAAAGCATTACATGTAAAAAGATTCTAGAGCCAAACTGCATCATGAAATTATAAGAAAGGTGTATGTGATATGCAGTGTTTCTACCATCCCTCCTTTTTTTTTTCAATGCAGGACAAGTATTCAATGAAATTGCTTTGGGAAATACTAATTTAGATCAATAATTTTAAACAGGCATGAAATAATTTGAGCTTTAAATGACCAGTAGTTATAATATACTGTAGTCTCTACCATAGCAAAAAGCAGTCTGTGTTTGATATTATTGGTTAGAACCAACAAAGCAAAAACTAAATTATCATTACAATTCCAGCATCTAAAGGGACCTTTTCCTTACCGGTTTCCACCCCAGAGGGACAAAGCCAGGACCAACAAACATGGCATTGAAGTAATTATAAAGAATCATAACAGTCCAATTTATCAACATGATGAAATTCACACTTCCTCCAGTTGTATGTAGGGGCCAATACCACAGCACAGAGTCAATCATGGCCATCGTAGAACATATTGCTATGACACTAAGGGCTATCAGGGGACCCCAGTGACACAGTCTCTTTAATTCTTGGAGATTTTCAAACCTGATAACCATTTTGGTGAGGAAGAATGTCCTCCTATCTTTAAAGAATGATAGATTTCCTCTTTTTGTGCACACATATCCGTGTGCCACAAGTCCATGTGTGTTCCTTAACTGTCATGTCTTCAAGTTGTGCAATGTTAATGCAGATTACGCCATTTTCTAAGTTACATACTCCGAGCTCTTTATCTGAACTAGGAGAATCCAGTACCTTGGTTTGAAACCCAATCTAAAGAAAACAAAACGAGAAAGTTCAGTAAACAACGTATTACATACTACACTTAACTCCAATAACCACCTTAAACAAAAGCATCTCACAAGTGCACTGCTGGGTCAAATGCCAACAACTATTCTTATCTTACCCAAAATAGGGTTCAAGTCTAAAGGGCATGCAAACTGGATACCTGATTGATTGGGGGGCAGCGACTGTCCAATGTTTAGGGAACAGTTTGCGGAGACAAAGAATTTTAGAGCTGGGAGGCAGGGCCTTTTGAGTTGATCTAATCCAGCTTCCTTATTAAACAAAACAAACTGGCTCGGAGTGGCTACGTGATTAGATCAAGGTCAAACGTGAGGGCTGAACCAAGTCGTTCAACTCCCCCTCCGGAGCTGAAGGCGACCTCGTACCCAGCCTCCAGCCAGGTCGAGTCTGAGCCAGACGTGGGCTCCACTCTTCGCCTGCGCCCGCCTCCCAAACACCAACGTAAGGGTCTACTCGGGCCAAAGGTGACCGAGAGGGTGAAAGCAGAGACAAGCGCGACGAGAGGACAGACGGAGGCCGGTGTGAAATCACGACGGGAAGGGTGTATGAAAAAAAGAACGCGAATGGGGCCACTTCAGGGAAAGAAAGAAGAGGAAGCTCCGTCCGCAGCGAGCGCCGGGAGGACTCGCAGGCGGGAATCCCCGGTGGAACTGCAGGGAGTCCAGGGAAGAAGGTCCGAGGTAGAGGGTCACGGAGACTTCCACGCAACGGACGCCGCTGCCTTGTGCCTCAGTTTCCCGCCCGTGTCACGGGGGACAGCTTTTAGGGGTCCTCACGCAGGGCAGGAACATCCTAGTACGCGCGGCTGGTCCCACAGCGCCGGCGATACTGGCCTCACGCGGGCGGAGGGAAGACTGCCAAACGCACAGGGACACCCGCAGCCTTGACTCCCACCTCAGTCCGGTCCTGGGGGCCCGCTCCTCGGCCATCGCATTTCCGGGGCGGCCTGGGCTCACCCGGAACAGGTTGTCTCCTTTTCAGGTAACTCCATCGTGGGTACCTCGGTCCAGAGCAAGCAGAAAGCGAATCCTTTTTGCTGGAGGCTGGGGTGCGGGACCCGACCGCACGCGTCGGTCTCTCCGCGGGCGCTCCAGCCGCTCCGCTCCGCCTCAGGCGCGGTGCGCAGCCGCCAGGACAGCCACTTCCGGAAAGTCCGCCGCATCAACCTTCCCCCCCCCGGAAGCAGGCTCCTGGGACCGGTAGCTTGGAGAGTTGGAGCCGCTTTCCAGAACCTGGAGGGGTTAAAAAACACACAGACCTTTCATTGATCCCTTAGAAGACGAATATTTGGGGGGCGTTCGTGGGAGCAGTACTTAAAGTGCTTTTCCTTAGAGAATTTGTTAGGTTTGGAACCTGAGAGGAAAATAAAGAGCGTACGCGACCTATTTCCCCGGGGGACTGAGATCGCGACGGACAACCAGGAAGCGGCTGGGCCGGGAGCTGTCGCCGGTTCTGCGCTCGGCTCCCGAGGGCGGCTCCCAGGGTTCCTGCGCCGTGGTCCCCGCGCCCGCGTGACGCCCGCCCGGCCTGGGCTCCGGCTCGGGCCTGTCACTCCGGAGCCGCCATGTCGTCCGACTTCGAAGGCTACGAGCAGGACTTCGCGGTGCTCACGGCAGAGATCACAAGCAAGATAGCCCGGGTCCCTCGACTCCCGCCGGGTGAGAGCCCTGCCCCGCGCCGGGGGTGGCGCGCAGGCCCGGGGGGCTC